AAGGATTAAGATAGAGTGTTCATATATATATATATATATATATATATATCCACCTTCTTGGGAGTTGAGATAATGAAGATATACGATTTTCTCAATACTTAACATGGTATCAAAGCATGCCTAAGATCCCCACTTTGGTGCTCTTTCCCTTCATGAGTTTGGCTGCCTTTATGAGAATGTTTTTCATTTTTGTCCTTCCAAACATCCACCCCCCCCCAACCAGTAGGCATTCTACATGTACCTATACTTGATCTTCCACAAACGTCGGATTACCCCTATCCTTCAAATAACCCACACACTATTACTTCATCTTCTCTACCACCTCCACTTAGACCTTTGGCTTCCCCACAACCAATCCACGAACCCTTCCAAACTACTTCTCATGATTCTTTGGAATCAATTGATAATGTTTCTACTCCATCTCAAGTCATTAAAGAACAATTAGTTCATAATACCCCTTCTCTACCACCTCCCACAAATGTTCACAAATCACAATGGTCTCATCATCCACCATCGTACCTTCAGGATTTCTATTGTTCTCATTCCATGCTACCAACTTCTCCAATGTCAACTTCTGCAACTGGAGCCACCAAAGGCATTTGATATCCATTCTCTCAATTTATCTCTTATGAGCATTTATCTCCATCCTACCAAAGTTTTGTTTTAGTTGTCTCTTCTATTCCAAAACTCACTTGTTTTTCCAGGCTGTACAAGACCCGAAATGACGGGAAGTAAAGCAAAATGAATTTCGAGTACTTGAGCAAAATAAAACCTAGACAATACCATTTAGCCTCTCGATAAAAAGCCCATTGGTTGCAAATTGCCCTACAAAGTTAAATATCGAGATGAGAGATATAAAGCACGTCTTGTTGCCAAGGGTTACACCCAACGAGATGGCTTGGATTACCATGAGACCTTCACCCCCTTGTAAAGCAAGTTACTATATGATGCTTGCTTGCCATTGCTTTCGTCCAAAATTGGCTCCTACATCAGCTTGATGTCCAAAATGTTTTTCTACATGGGGACTTAAAAGAAGAAGTATATATAACTCTTCCCCCATAATTCTATCGACATAGGGAGAAATGGGTGTGTCGCATATACAAATCTCTCTATGACCTTAAACATGCTTCTCGATAGTGGTTTGGGAAATTCTCATTTGCTCTCATCGATGCTGAATTTGTTCATTATAAAACTAACTACTCCCAATTCACATGTCAAAAACATCATGAGTTTAACGTTGTACTCGCGTATGTGGACGACATCATTGTCAGTGGCAACAACCTTCCTGCCATCACCTCTCTCAAGCAGTTCCTCCATTGTTGTTTTCACTTGAAAGATCTTGGCTCCTTGAATATTTTTTGGTATTGAGGATGCTCGCTCCAAGAAGGGCATCAACATCTCCCAAAGCAAATATACCTTAGAGGTTATTGAAGAACTAGGACTTCTTGGGGCATGCCCTGTTTATCTACCCATGGAACAACACCACAAACTCGACACTACTGACAGTGGCCTTCTATCTGATCCAAATTATATATCGGAGACTCATATACTTGAGCATCACCAGACCTGATTTTGTCTATCTGGTCCACATCCTTAACCAATATATGAGTCAACCTCACAAACCACATCTTGCAACAGCTCTAGGTCTAGTTCGATATCTGAAGCTCTATCCAGGTCAAGGCTTACTCATACCTTATGATAGTGCCTTTTAGCTACGAATTTTC